CTATACTAAGTTGTTTCAAAGTGCTGTCCCATTTACGGACTTTCTCATCTAGAATGCTATAACCTTTCAAAATCAACATTATTGACGATTATAATATTGCTGGATCAAGCGAGTTTATGCCTATTATAAATGCAATATTATATTCAGGCAATAAATGCGATATTACAGAGGGTGTTCAAAACATATACAGAACGCTTGATCATTAATAACTCTCATACATCCAAATCTTTTGCCGAGCTTTAGGTACCATTCTGTGGAGCGAGGTTTAACTTAGTTCTGCGGTATGGAGCGAATCATCTATCACTTTCTGTAGGATTACAGTAGGAACTTCAAGAAAAATTTGGTGAAAGCATTGCCTTAGAAGGAAAACCAAACATGCTAGCTGTTGCACTAGACTAATCAAAGTCGCTGATTCCAAATGTAAAATTTGCACTTCACTATAATGCTTATTACATAAGTTCTCTCAGGTTTAATATAACAGCTGTTTTCCAACATTCGTCAGAAGTGTGACTCCACCATCAAGAGAGCTCGAAAAATTGATAAAAGGTTGAGTAGTGAAATCGGCACGCCAGAAAACCTAGCTACACAAATTTCCAGATTTTCTAGGATTTTTTTTTCACCAAAAGGCCTATTTCACAGTGTCGCTGTATGCTGAAAATTCATAATGTAACCCTATAACAATAAAGAGCGGTTGGTGAATCGCTGCACAAAGTAAATCTAAGTTGATCTCGCTCTACGAGATGGTACCTTATGCTCGGCAAAAGACTTGGATGCAGTAGAGTTTCCAGAGATCAAACATTCTATACATTTTCAAGGGATACTCTGTATTTATCATCATTAGTTCCTCCCTTTTAAAAATGCAGCATGCCATATCAAAAACGCACATAAGGAATTAGAAAGACTGGAGAATAATGAAAGGTCTTCTTCAAGTCAAGACAGTCACATTCGACACTGCTCTATCACCTTAAACATTTCTTGGTCCATCTTATTACTGCGCCTCTTACAAGCATATTTTAACACTCTATGTTGAACTTATATAAAAAGCTGAATGTCTATTTGTCTGTATGCATGTCTGCATGTCTGTCTATATTTCTGCGTGTATATGTTCCGAATAGAAATTTTTATCTCTGGACCGATCCGAACCAGTTTTTGTACACATACACTTGAGGCGGGTGTCGTGGTCATCGATATCGATTTTACTGATTGTTTGGAAAGTTTGAGCTACTTAGCTGGGAGTTGGCACAAGGGGGAGGAGGATAATTGAGCATGCTGATCACAAATATTACTGACAGGTTTACGGAGCCGGGTTTGCTAGCTAATAGGTTATAAACGAGCTCGACATTAAAAATTAGAAAATTCAGTATTTGTTTTGTATTTCCTTATTGTGTGTGGTGTGTTCTTCACAGCATTTTCTGTGAGAATATCGCTACTTAATGATGATGTAATGGATAAAAACGAGTAAATGAATGAAAAGATAGAAAAAATTTTAGTAGCGTAAATATTGACCTATTACTTTAGCTATGACAACGAATAAATTCCAAAACACATAACGATTCCAATCACAACGCTACGAACCAAGATTGTGCACCTGAATACTTTCTAGGTTTTCCTTCTCCAGGTAGGAATTTACCCGACTTTCTCGACCTCGATCCTCGCAACCAGATGAACCGTATCTGTCAGCAATTATTAGAGGCGCGTAACGTAATTGAGGCGGAGCGATTATTGTGGAGTTCATTTCCTAACTGCTCAACCTTACCGGATGAACAACTTCCAGGTCATCGTGTCACAGTTTTTCGAGGTAACCGATTTTTGACAGCAAGACTGCCCTTGAAAAATTTATAATCTTTCCAGTGGGAAACATCAGTAGTGGCACGATGGCCTCTTCCATTTTTAGTCCTGCCGCCTTTACTTACAGTTTTCTTAGGTAATTTTGTCATTTTCTGCAGTACTTACTAGAAAATCAATATCTTTTTTTAGTTGTGGCAGCTGCATCCGACTTCAAACTGAACACAACAAATGAAACTTTGCAAGTTTTTCTTCCTGATAACATGGAAAGCATTTCAGACTTCAAAAAAGTATAGCCTTTTTTCGCAACTAAATTTATAATGCTTTCAATGTTTTTTTTTCAGTTAATCTCACTTTTTCCTCCTCGAGACGCCCAACGAGATACTTACTCAGTATTTGGATCAAAGTTTGCTTCGATTCTGTTTGAGGATAATGGTGGAAATGCTGTTTCTCCACAAGCTATAGAAGAACTTGCAAAACTGCATAGGTCTATCGTTAAACTGAAGGTAGGTAGAGTAAAAGAGAAAAATTGTTGTAGAAGCCCAGTATCGCATTGAATACATCACCGTAACCCTATCATGGTTTATGTTCTCTAGAAATCAATGCTAGAGAAGAGTTTTGCACTTGATAGGGTAAGTAATATACGTTTTTTCTCAAATATATTACCCTAATTTCATGCATATAAGGCGCACTTTTTCGATTTTTCAAACAGGCCCCTCGGGCGCCTCACTGAGTTTCGGAAAACGATTTTCATGCTGCACGATTCTTTCAAGCAATAAACAGCACGTTATAGGGTCCTTTGGTTGCAAATTTTCCTTTGACGTGTTTGAGCTGGTCGATCTTAGAAAAAAAATCACCTGCGCCTTATATGCGCGAAATTAGGGTAATTAACTATCAAGTTGTTCCAAAAGTAAATTTCTTTCCTTTTCAAAATACAAGATTTTTTGCTTTTCTAACAGATTTATCATTTGATAGAGTGAAGCAAGGTCTACAAAATGGTTACCGAAGATCCGCCCAAGTCGTAATCCAGGTAAAATTTGGAGACAAAAATAAAAATTTTCCAGGTGTCCCAAAATTCGGATGTCCTTGTTTTTTTTCCAGTACTAATTGAAAAATCAAAATGGCCCAAAAATGCAAAAATGTCACTTTTTCGGATTTTCTATGTTGAACTTGGTAATTCTCAATTACAAGCCCGAACAGAGGTAAAATTCAAAGGTCATACTTACCAAGCTTGTAGTATACAATGACACATGTGGGGGAGGGGTGGAGTTTGAAATTTTTGGACTATCCTTTTTTCTCGCTTTCTAAGCGCGCAAAAAAACCCAGCAAAAGCTTGTTAATACTATTGTGTGTCTACTGTATACTGGCCAGATTTGAGGCCGTAGGATTTTTTCTCGCAAAAATCCAATTTTCGAGCGATAATTTTTTTTCGATTTTGTCTCCAATTTACTTGATAGCTTAAACAGTTCTTCGGTGATCATTCTGTAGAGCTTGCTTCGCTCTATCAAATGATCCCCTGTGTCCGGAAATACAAGACAGCTTGATTTATCTAGAAGGAGTTCACATTTAGGACAACTTAATTAAGCATTCACCAACGACAGTGCTGCGAGTTATTTTATAAGAATCAGTGATTCGCCATATGCACGAGATGGACGTTATTGCGGACTCCATAATAGGGGAGATCATCAAACCAGTTTTACTGTCTACGTCTCTCACACTCTTACAATCTGCTAGTATCACGAAGAGA